GCCGATTGGGGCGGGAACAATAGCCACTGGGATATCATCAAATGACCTGGAGGGCCTGTTTCGGGACAGGGGGGGGGTAGGAGGAGTAGCAATTGCAGGGGGCAAATGCAGCGGCCACAACTTTCTCAAAAAGGAGACTGGGAGCCTAGGCGGTAGCCCGTGTCAGGTAGGTAGAATGGTTCTAGAGCAGGGTTAGGGTGAAGGGAGTAGGGGGCGGAAGAACAAGGGAGCATCGAGGTCATGGAACGAAGGTGACCATACAAAAAGGGGGATACATGATGCGCACCATAAATATTATCCCTCCCAGGGAGACAGAGCTGGAAGGGGGGGCATGACGTAAAAGAAGCAGGGGCAGTGGACAAATCTAGAATAGGTTGGGGGCAAACCAACAGGTGTAAGGCGGAAACTGATGACCGGGTGGGTGGCAGGTGGCTGCGTCCAACCATATGGCAAGAGATGGGCAAGTAGTGAAATTTATAATAACAGCGTAGGAAGTCGGCATACTCATGAACCACTAAAACAGTGGGAGCCAAATATTTTGGTTAGAACACAAAACAGCTGCCCCGAGTGAGGATCGAACTCACGACCTTAGGATGGCTCCGCCCAGGAGTTTGGGAGTCGGAATGCTATGAGACCTACGCGCTACCGACTGCGCCATCGAGGCTTGTTTCGGAACGCAGATAAAATTGTCTAATAGCTTTTTCAACGCCGATGCGCCAAGTTGCCAATTGCTTCGCGCGTCGCGTTTTTATCAGCTGGAACCGTAATTTCGCCTATTATCAGCTACTACGCACAAATACATTTTATCCGTAGTAGCGCGCAGCTTTGCCTCCTCCACGCAGTTGAACCACGCCTGCCACCCACTATCAACACCGTCGATTAGTCCACTAACACCATCATCTGATAATGTACGGAAACTTCTATCAACTGCAAAACACTTGGTCCACATGAGACCCTGGTTTTAACTCCGTCAGTTAGTCGCTTGAATCCGTCAACTGGCTCTCACGCTATGTTGCAGCTTCGAATGGCAATCAGAAGTCCCAACCTCCAGCTTCCACTAGCCTTCCTCAACCGATCGTGTCTACCTCGTCGCGTAAACCGACTCAAAGAGGCCCCGTTAAGCTCACACCCTTTAGGGATCTCCTTTTCACGTCAGTATCAGGCTTCTCACCAGCAGAATCTGTCGTTTCAGAAGCTCTCAGCATCCTTCCTTCACGGTCCCCTTCTGTCAAAATCAGAATCGAAATCAGAATTAGGATCAGAATTAGAATCCGATCCAGTATGTCGTGAATCCAGTGATCCCTCTCAATGCGTACCTGATCCGTCCCGTTGGGCTGCCGTATACGACAAGGACCGCCGCCCGCTCTGCGAGCACGCGCCAGCGGCGCTCGTTCCGCTGGACGAGGTGCTGACGTGGCAGGCGGAGCAGCAGCGGCGGATCGACGGTGAGATCGGCGACAGGCTGGAGCAATCCGACGGTGGACCTTCGAGAAAAGAGCTTAGGAGGGAGTTAGAATGGATGCTAGAAGATGCAACAGCTGGGTGGGTGGAGGGCGGAATCACAAGGGAAGAGAATGTTGATACTTCTAGGGTAAAGGGTTTGGTGGTTCAAGGAACTGGGCAGGGGGAAGGGGAAGGAGAGGGGATGGAGGAGGGGATGGAGGGGAAAAGGGAGGGTTTGAGAGAGGAGGGTGAAGGGCTCGGTGAAAAGGAGTGGTTGAGGCGTTTGAAACGGTTGAATTGGAGAGACGTACAGCTGATGGGAAATGGCGTGCACGGAGGCAACAGCAGTAGAAGCAACAGCCAATTCACTCCCCCTGGAACAAGCATTACCAGCACCACCAGCACCACCAACACCAGCAGCGCCAGCAGCTCCAGCAGCCACCCCTCCTCCGCCTCTCCCCTCATAGCCCTCCGCCTGCCCTTCCCCTCTCTGCGCCTGCTCTGGCGCGCGCGCCTCTCCCTCCGCGTGCCCTCGCAGTACCTGGTGGGGGGGGCGCACTGGCGCGACCTGCTGCTTGCTGTCCAGCCTGGCGTGCTTATACCGAGGCCAGAGACTGAGCTCTTAGTGGATCTGGCTGTAGCGGGGATGGAGAAGGCTGAGGAGATGGAGAGAGGGGGGAGGGAGAGGGAGGGTTTGGGGAAGAGGGAGGTTTTGGGGGAGAGGGAGGGGTTGGCGGGGAAGGAGATTTGGGCGGATCTGGGGACGGGGAGTGGGGCCATTGCTGTGGATCTGGCTCGGGAATTACTCAAGAGGAGGGAGAAACGGGGCTGGGACGGTGTGAAGCAGCTATGCGGGGAGGGCAGAGGAGAGAGGAGCGGGGATGGAGAGAGAAGAGGGGATGGAGAGGGTGGGGGGATCGGAGAGGGAGGAGGGCTGGGAGAGGAGGTGGTGGTGGTGGCGGTGGATGCGAGTGCAGTGGCGTGTGAGGTGGCGGCATTGAATTCTGCAAGATACGGGCTGCAGGTAAGAATGTTACCAAAAACCCGAAACCTGAAACCTTATTCCTTAAACCCTGAGTGCTTGTGCAGTGGCGTGTGAGGTAGCGTCATTGAATTGAGCGAGATACTACTGTAGGTAACCCATATAAATCAGTGCTCGTATTCCCTGTTGGAATTTTCCAACCCACACCATCCACCCCATCCCATCCCATCCCATCCCATCCCATTTCATCACCCCTCTCCTCCCTCCCCTTCCGTTTTATCAGGAACGCGTATACGTGGCACGCGGTGATTGGTTCATTCCTCTGTATAAGCTGGGCATGTGCGGTTGGTTGCATGGCATAGTGAGCAACCCCCCCTATATCCCATGCCACCTGCGGTCACTGCTTGCTAATGGAGGTCCCTCCTCCTCTTTCCCACTCCTTTCAGGCCCACATACGCGTGGCACGTGGTGATTGGTTCGCGCCCCTTCATGAAATGGCCATGCATGGTCGGTTGCATGACATAGTGAGCAACCCCCCCTACATCCCATGCTATCTGCTCCCTCCCTGCTTGCTAGCGCAGTTCCCCTCTCCTCTCTCCCTTTCCATTTCTTCAGGAACACATACACGTGGCACATGGTGATTGGTCCGTGCCTCTCCATAAGTTGGGCATGCATGGTAAATTGCATGGCATAGTGAGCAACCCCCCTACATCCCATGCCACCTGCTGCCATCCCTGCTAGCCAAGCTCTCCTCACCTCCTTGTTCCATTCCACAGGAGCACATACACGTGGCGCGTGGCGATTGGTACGCGCCCCTTCATGAAATGGCCATGCATGGTCGGTTGCATGGTATAGTGAGCAACCCCCCCTATATCCCATGCCACCTGCTGCCACTGCTTGCAAATAGAGTTCCCTCCTCCTCTTGCCCACTCCTTTCAGGCCCACATACACGTGGCGCGTGGTGATTGGTTCGCGCCCCTTCATGAAATGGGTATGCATGGTGGGTTGCATGGCATAGTGAGCAACCCTCCCTACATCCCATGCCATCTGCTGCCATCGCTGCAACCTGAGGTGCGGCTACATGAACCCTCCCTGGCCCTTGACGGAGATGCTTATAAGGAGGATGGGTACGGACCCTCTGCTGCTGATGCTGCCACTGCAGTTGCTGGTGATGCTGATGCTGTTGCTGATGGTGCACTTGATGGTACTATCAGTGATCCTGATCCTGATGGCGATACCAACAAGGATGGAACGGCATGTCTGCGCCACATCTGTCAGAATGCATCCACCTTCCTTCGCCCCTTCGGCTTCCTGGCTCTTGAGGTAAAGTCCCTCACTCAACGAGCCCGAGCCTTCTCTCTGCTTTATTTGCTCTAATTCCTTTAGAACAAATAAGAAGAAAAAAAGAGTTCTGCCCTATTCCTTGTGCTGCTAATGCTTCGTCTCTCTCTGATTCTTTTGTGCTTGTTTCCAGACTCATGGGTGGGGTCAAGCGGAGATAATTGCCGATGTGCTGGCCAATCAGAGATCGCCAGATGGCAGGTTGATGTATTGTGATGTACAAGTAGCAAAAGACTGGTATGGCGTTACTCGCTTTGTAACTGCACACCGAACAGGCGTGCCCTTGTAAGCGTGTGTTGTGTTTTATTGATTCAAATCAAGTTCAGGATCTTGTATGGTAACTTCCTGCAACAAGAGGCGCAATTGTGGGGGAACAAATGAGCACGCATTTGCGAGCTGATGTAATAATTGTGCGCAAAAACATAACCCTGCACTAGTATGAAGTTGTGCAAGTGCTACTATCATAGTAAAAGCCTTCAACATTGTTGTGATCGAATAGATCAAAAGTGGTAATGGAATATTTATCACTGAACAACATCCCGCTAATATGAGGGCACGTATTAGCGGAAACGGGGTTCCTTGCTCTAAACCCCTCAAGTGACAACCACGTCATACACCCGCGACGCGATCTAAACTTCCCACTAACCGTTTTACCCGTTACCTCGCTATCGAAACCGTAATTTGCAGACATTTGACGTGCGTTTCCGTTCCGTACTTCTTGTTTTCGTCAACCCGCACATTTCCCGCCCGATCGTCTTAGCTCGCGCTGTTTTGTTCCAGTCGAAAACGCGCTAGCGGCTAATCATCGCGGAACGGAGGGGCAGGAAGCCGCGAATGCGTATGCTCGTGCATCGCGTATGCGGCATCCCCCCACTCCCCTCTTTCGCGCTTGGCACTCGGCGCGCCGCGGCCTTAGGCCGAGCCGCACACGCATCGCCACCTTAGGCATCGCACGCTGAACCCCATCTCACGCCGCCACATCCGTTTTTCTCCCACACATCCTCTGTCCTACACGAGTGAAAGCAGGGGGCCGTTCCCGTACTTTCACTCGTCCGCCGCTCTACTCTTACCCCCGCTAGCTGCCCCTACGCCCGATCCCCGCTCTATCGGATCCGATATAGAGCTCTACGATGGTCGTTTCAGTGATAATGAGATGACGAACGTGGAACACATTTCTTGAAGCTGACTGTAGCGAGATTCGCTATAAGACGCCACGATGTTCGTACTAACAGAGATGGAGGATGACATTCGCGTCGCGCCTCACGACCTGCACCGCCCGCATTTGACGGCCGTCAGCTCAGAGATTAAAGCCAAGTATTTCGATAAGGTATGGAATAAGACCTTTAACGAGGTGACTTATGAGTCGACTCAATATTCGCCTTTAAACGGCCGTCGGCTGAGAGATTCATCTACCCCTTCCGAGGCTATGAGACCCTCATTCGTTCGTTCGCCTCGCTGTGGCCCTCTGTGTTCCCTGGACTGAACCATTAAACCGGCCGTGCTACGTAAAGCGGGTCACTGTAACTCGCTGCACGACGAATCCACAGAAGGTTGGAACCCCTTTGATGCATATGCTTTTTCTTTGCCATCCCCCCTTTTCATCTGTGTCTGCTTGACCGAACCACCCACCAGGTGCTGTGCACTGTGGGTCTCTGCATCTCGATCTACGACTTGCAGTTCGCAGAAGGGGGGTTTACCCCCCCCCCCCCCCCCCCCCTCTGATTTTACCCCCCCGTTTTTGCCAATTCCTCCCGTTACATATGTGCTCCACCCCCAACTGAACCATGTAACGCCCATCCCACCAGGTGCTGCGCAAGCAACGTGGGTCTCTGCATCTCGCTGCATGACCCGCAGCCAGTGGACGCCAATCCTTCCCATTCCATATTTGTTTTCCGTGACTGAACCATAACTGCCTCCCATCCCATCCGGTGCTGCCCAACGTGGGTCTCTGTGTGTCGCTGTACGACCTGCAATCAGTGGAAGGGGGCTTCATCTACCCCCCTTCGACTCATACCTCTTCTTCTTGCCAATTCCTTCGTCCCACATCAGGTGCTGCGCAACGTGGGTCTCTGTGTGTCGCTGTACGACTTGCAGTCGGTGGAAGGGGGCTTCATCTACCCCTCCGACCCTGGCCCTCATTTCACTGTGAGACCTGTGCTTCCTCCCACCTCCCTTCCGCCTCCATTCCACCTCCCTTCCACCTCCCGTCCACCCCTTTTTCATCATGCCCTCTTCCTTGCCTGACTTCTCTCTCATTCCTTTCTTACCACACACACAACAGCTTCGCTTCCTTACACACACAACAGCTTCGCTTCCTTACCAGCCCTTCCCTCTTTACCCCTCTCCCATTCCCCCTTAGTTTTGTTTCTTGCATACATGTCCATTTCGCTCTCGTCTTGTATTCATCCCTCCTTACTCCTCCTCTACTCATCCATCCATCCCTCTCTGTCTCTTCCTCCTTCCGTCCTCCTCCTCACTCATCTCGCCCCTTAGTGGGCAGGCTGGTGATATGGTCTTGTCGTTGTCGCACCCTCACGTGCGCCCCCCTCTCCCCCCAGCTCTCGTCCTCCTCCTCCTCCTCCTCCTCCTCCTCCTCCTCCTCCTCCTCCTCCTCCTCCTCCTCCTCCTCACTCTCACTCACTTGCCCTCCCGTCTTCCCTCTATCCATCCACCTCTTCCTCTCCTCCTTCTCCCCCCCTCTCACTCACTCTCCTTTTTCCTTCCTTTATTGAAGCATACCCATCGGGTTGACGTCTGTCTTGTCGCCTCTCTCGCCCTCTGTTGCCCTCCTTTCTCCCTAACTTCTATCCTCCCTCTTCCTTTCTCAACGCACACCCATCAGGTTCGCTTCCGACTGGTCGTCTTTTCACCATTTGCGGGGGAAGTGCTTGTGGGCAGGCTGGTGAAATGCGACGCCACAGGGCTCTATGGTACGTTCACATTCCCTGCCCACTGATTCGATGTCTGTTGCATCGCCTCAAGAGGTGATGTGGGGTAGATGTGGAGGGGGTGCTCGTGGGCAGGCTAGTGAAATTCGATGCCACAGGGTTGTTTGGTACGTTCTCATCATGTGCGTGCCTTCATTGATGCATGAAAAAAAGGGGGAGAAGGGGTGGGGCCCGGGGAGGGTTGGGGTGGAGGGCAGGCTTATGAAATGCGATGCAAGAGGTCTCTACGGTATGGTCATGTGTTCACGGGCTTGGGGGGGAGTTTCGCCTCCGGTTAGAGAAAACACTGATCTACGGTTACTGACCTTGATGTTGTTTTCTTTACTCAGGGTGTCTGTTCGCCTTTCCCTCTACACAACCCCACATTCCTTTCCTGTTCTATGTTCCTTTCAGTATCACTGGACTTTTTCTCCGATATACACATTCCTCATTACAACCTACAAGAGCCTTCAGTTTTGTGAGCATTAACGGCTGAACGTGCGGATGGACCACTGATTTGTATGCACCATCTATGTCTGCATGTGTGTGTGTTTGCATGTGTGCATGTGTGTATGTGTGCATGTGTGTGACGCATGTCTGGTTGTACTCATGGTATGAGCCATCCAGCTGTACATGCTGAATGCATGCATGCATGCATGGGTGTGTGTGCTTGAGTATTGCTTTTGAGTCGACTCAAAAGTCAAAAGTCAACTTTTGAGTCGACTCAAAAGTCAAAAGTCAACTTTTGAGTCGACTCAAAAATGCATGCATGCATGGGTGTGTGTGCTTGAGTATTGCTGTCAGGTTGAATTTTCTTACAATCCGCCTGTGTCTGCATGCACACACCTTTTGAGTCGATTCATAAGTTATATTTGTGCGTGTTTGCATGTTCTTGTGCCTGTCAATCCGCCTGTGTGTACCATTGTGCCCATGCAGTGACGACCAGGAGATGCTATGGGTTTGGAACCAGATAATACGTTTCTTCTAAGAGTTCTTTCAAGTTTTGAGACGTCTCAAAACTAGACGTCTCAAAACTAAAATTTTGAGACGTCTCAAAACTAAAATTTTGAGACGTCTCAAAACTATGGGTTTGGAACCTGATAATGACTTTTGAGGCGCCTCAAAAAGAGATGCTATGGGTTTGGAACCTCATAAAACGTTTCTTCTACGAGTTCTTTCAATGCATGTGCCCTTTCTCGCCCCCATGCAGTGACGAACAGGAGAAGCTGTGGGTGTGGAAGTTCAACGACAATGACATGTTCCTGGACATGGATGAACTGGTATGACTCGCGTTGACTTCCTTGTTCACTAGTGCTGACTCGCGTTGACTTCCTTGTTCACTAGTGCTGACTCGCGTTGACTTCCTTGTTCACTAGTGCTGACTCGCGTTGACTTCCTTGTTCACTAGTGCTGACTCGCGTTGACTTCCTTGTTCACTAGTGCTGACTGGCGTTGACTTCCTTGTTCACTAGTGCTGACTGGCGTTGACTTCCTTGTTCACTAGTGCTGACTCGCGTTGACTTCCTTGTTCACTAGTGCTGACTCGCGTTGACTTCCTTGTTCACTAGTGCTGACTGGCGTTGCCTTTCTTGTTCACTAGTGCTGACTCGCATCGACTAGCATTGCCTGACAGTGCCACAGTGCGATGTGGTCACACAGCAATGGAAGCTTAATCATAACGACATGTTTCTTGATATGGATGACCTGGTATGACTGGCGTTGACTGGTATGACTGGCGTTGACTGGCGTGACTGTCATTGACTGGCGTGAGTGGTGTTGACTTGCATTGACTGGCTTTGTCACACTGCCATGCAATTTGCCACACCAGGGGGGGGGGGGGGGGGGGAGGAGGAGGGGGGGGGGTGGGTGCTTCATATGCCATGCCATATCATAAGCACCTTATTCCACTCCTTCCTGTGGAGCAGGAGGAGAGAGCTATTGCACTGCACTGGCACCCCTTTTCTCTTCCTCACTTCTGCACATGCCCTGCCCCTCCGTTCCATCAGATCCGGTTCAAGGTGGTGAGTGTGAAGTATCCCCCACTGCCGTGGAGCAGGATAAGGGAGCCACTGCCCGTGGAGCAGGATAAGGGAGCCACTGCCCGTGGAGCAGGATAAGGGAGCCACTGCAACCATTTATTTACCCCCGAATACATACCTTCCCATTTTCCCCCTCCCGTTCCCCCTCTATCCCATTCTCATACTAGATTCGGTTCAAGGTGGTGAGTGTGAAGTACCCCCCCTGCCCGTGGAGCAGGATAAGGGAGCCACAGCAATGCCTTCTCCCCCCCACTTCCATACCTACCCACTCCCCTCCTTCCGTTCCCCCTCAATCCCATTCTCAAACCAGATCCGGTTCAAGGTGGTGAGTGTGAAGCATCCCCCACTGCCCGTGGAGCAGGATAAGGGAGCCACTGCCTTTGCGACTATGGAGATCGTTGTAAGAACCACTTTCAAGAAACCACTTTCATTATAGGAACCATGGAGGGTTACGCAATATTTGGAAATCATCTACATGACCACCGCACAAGAATCATCGTTACTTCACTCATGACTTCTGCCTCATCACTCATAGTACATGATTCATGACTCATGGATCCATAGCCCATGACTCCCATAGATGCCCACTACCTTAAGATGCTTTTCAAGGCGCCTCATAAACTTGACTCCTTCCTTTACACCATAGCGTGACCCATGTGTGATGTCCTTTACCTTGAGGTTTTTTCTCAATGTTGTTAATAGAGTGCAAGATGGCCTTAATGCAGATTTTGCTGTGCGTTGCATTTCTGCAGGGTGATATTAACGGCGATGGGCTCGGATTGCTCTCTTGGTGGTCGTAGGTGTTTCAACGGGCTTCTGGGTGGTGGTGATGGGTGCTGAGTAACGGATGTCTAAGTGATTATATGTGGTAGCTCTCGCCCATGATGGTGGGTGCTGTTTTGGAGCTATAGCCTATATGGTCTTCAGTGTAGTTAAAGTTGTTCTTGTGAATACTGCATCTTTAATTTCTGTTTTGCGATAGGTTTTATTTTCTAAAATATACTGATGGGAATCGCATACACAAGGCCATCTATGACAATCATTTTGTATCTCTTGAACTTGAGTATTTACAAAAGTGTGCCATTCCATTGGCGGATGATGACTCTTTAGAGAAATCTCCCCTCAGCCCTCGAACCGTGACTTTTTCGAGTTTCTAAGGGCGTGTAACCATTTTGCCATTTGTGTTTTTGCGGACAGCCCGTTTTTTTTCATTCGGACGGTCCTAATAACGAGGTTTGGACCGTCCGAATCGACGGTTCGGAACTTTGATACTGTCCGAAGTGGATAGTGACACTTTTTCGAGTCTCCTCAAATTTGCGAGAAGCACTGTACTGCTCGTAACGTGTTTCGCATGTTTCGTGTTGTTCGCGAAAACCTCTTCGTGACATTTGACGACGCGACTCGGATTTTGTAAAAAAAATCTCGACTTCGTGCGCCAATCTCGTGCGAGGACTTTCGGACGGTCCGAATGCGTTTCGGACAGTCCGTTTCTGACGTTTCGAACCATTGAAGTTGGGAAAAGTGTCATTACGGTCCGAGTTTCTAGCGACGTCGCAAAGGCACTTGCGAACATACTAACGATGAATCACGAGGTTGGTAACCCTTCGCTACCCGGACGGTCCACAATTCGGACCGTCCGGAACAAAAAGTGGCAAAATGGTTACACGCCCTAGCGGTCGGCATGTGGTGCCATGCAATCGTCCATTGTCCACAAGGGATACACGGAGGTCCCAGGGCTGAGAGCCCCACACTACGGTTAGGTAAGTTCATAGACGTTGCAAAATGGTATACGGTTGTTATTGAACGGTTAGGTAATACTCAAATGACCTGAAGTCATGGTCTCTTATCCAACCTCCATCTCATAAACCCCATCTCGTCATCCTATGCCATTCAAGTCTAACCCTTTTTACCGCACTTCACCCTTTTCCAACACACTGGAATCTCGACTTCACGCACATCCTCCCATTTTGATTCGATTGAACCTCGAATATGCTTCTGCATGCTTCCCTCGTCGATCTCGAATTCTCAAATTCCTCTGCGGTTCCCTCCCCTCCCCTCATCAGACCAGCTCGCACGAAACGAATCTCTCACAGCGAGCAAGCCGTCCCACCCACGAGTGTCGTCGTATAAGACCCGAGCGTTGGTGCTAAAACAAAGTCGCATATGCTTGTCGGCATTGCACCTCGCAGCAGCTTTCTCGCCCTCCAACCGCTTGGCTGTTCCGCCAAGCCTGTGACTGCTCGTGTGCTCCCCCAGCTGATCGTCGCCATGACTCTCGTACGCTTCGATAAATTCCAACCCTGCTCCTTACTTGGTTAATCATATATCGCGTATGATTCCCCGTAGGCTAGTATGGGTCGCAAATAATGTACTCGCGCGCGTATGGACTTTAAGATCGGAAGCCATCAAAGCGGCGGTGAAATCGGTAAAATTTACTCTACTTCCGTCCTCACTCTGCCGGTCCCCGCACTTTCTTGAATGTTAGGTTGCGGATTTCTGATTTTGCCGGATCTACGTCTTTCTGGAATTTCCCGTGATGCTTCTGAAATGTCCAAAGCACCCTGGCCTTACCGGATCTTCAAGCCCGTTTGTTCGCATAGGAGCTTGTCCGATAAGCACCAGTCAGCACCAATCAGAACCGATTAGCACCAGTTTCCGTGGAGGCTTAGTCTGAGGTCGAGATGCCTGGTTGTTTCAGGGGTGAGGGTTTAAAGCGGGCAAGCAGCCGTATCTGGCATATACTGTGAAGCACCAATCAGTACCAATTAGCACCGACTAGCACCGATTACCACCGGTCTCCGTGGAGGCTTAGTATGAGATCGAGATGCCTTGATGTCGCAGGGGTGAGGGTTTGGAGCGGGCAAGAAGTCGATCTGGCTTATCTTAAAGAGTCTGGATGGATTTGAGACGATATTTGAGGCGCGTTAAAATTGTCTGCCTTTGCTTCTCCCCTCACCATTCTCTTTCCGCATCCTCCCGCCATCCACGCAGAAACTCTACACCTCCCCGCACAACAAGAACGCCTATAAGGCGCTGATCGCGGCGCAATTCGTGGGCGTGAAGATCGAGATCCCCCCATACCAGTGGGGCGTCACCAACAAGTCGGAAAAGTTTACGAAGCTCACCCCGATCGGCAAGGTACGATACCCACCACCAACCTATCAGTGGTACCCTACCCATCCACCAACCAATTCAGGCACGTGAAGATTGAGATCCCCCCCTACCAGTGGGGCGTCACCAACAAGTCGGAAGAGTTTACGAAGCTCACCCCGATCGGCAAGGTACGATACCCACCACCAACCTATCAGTGGTACCCTACCCATCCACCAACCAATTCAGGCACGTGAAGATTGAGATCCCCCCCTACCAGTGGGGCGTCACCAACAAGTCGGAAGAGTTTACGAAGCTCACCCCGATCGGCAAGGTAGGGAAAGGACTAGGAAGAGCCGTTAGAGGTGGGGAGGGGACTGACTAGCAAGTCGTGTGCGTGAAGATTGAAATCCCGCCCTTCCAGTGGGGTGTCACCAACAAATCGGAGGAATTTCTTAAGCTCACTGCGATTGGCAAGGTAAGAATGAATGGGCTAGGACGAGTGGCCAGAGGCAAGGTAATTCTGGATCGGGGCGAGCGAGCTGTGGTGCACAAGAGAGCAACGTCTGAAAGAGAGTGCAGTTGGAAGGAAACAAGGGATAATAAACGAGTGCATGAAAGGCTCACACCTATCAGTTTTCCAGTTGCACATGCTTTCGTGTTCTTTGATGCTGTCCTATTTATGTTATGTGCCGCTGTGTTGCAGATCCAACTGATTGTCACTCCTCATTGGGCCAATCTGAGTTTTGAGTCCACTCAGAACACTCCATATTGTGCTGTAGTATATTGTATAGTTCTGTGCTGTGCTGTATCCTCTGCTGTGCTGTGTTGTGTTGCAGATCCCACTGATTGTCACTCCTGATGGGCCAATCTTTCAATGCTGGTCATGTTGTAATGTATTGTGTGGTGCTGTGTGGTGCTGTGTGGTGCTGTGTTGTGTGGTGTTTTGTTGCAGATCCCCTTGATTGTCACTCCTGATGGGCCAATCTTCGAGAGCAACGCCATTGCCAGATACGGTAGGCTGCTGTCGCCATTGCCAGATACGGTAGGCTGCTGTCGCCATCATTTGCTTTTGCTGTTGTTTGCTGTTGTTGTGGGTGGATACACTGGGCTGTTGTTGCTACCGCTGCTGTTGCTGTTGCTGCTGCTGCTGCTGCTGCTGCTGCTGCTGCTGCTGCTGCTGCTGCTGCTGCTGCTGCTGCTGCTGCTGCTGCTGCTGCTTCTGCTGCTGTTGCTGTTGCTATTTGTGCTAATGCTGCTGTTATTGCTGTTGCTTCTGCTATTGCTGTTGCTGCTGCTGTCGTTGTCCTATTACTATTGTAATTGATGTTCCCGTCCCGCATCTCCGTCCCCCTCTGCTCTTCTATCAATCGCCCAGCTCTCACGTCACTAACCTCAAGCTTCTTTCTCCCTTCTCCCACATCCGTAAACCCTCCCGCTTTCCTTGTGCAGTCGCCAGGCTAGCGGACAAAGGCCTGTTCGGGTCGAACGAGTATGAGCAGGTGAGCAGCAGCATTTAAGCCCGAACGGTACCTGCGCGTACCCCACATCTCTCCACTTGCACACCCTGTTGTCGCACACCAGGTACTCTTTCAGTAAGGCAGAGGGGAGTGCAGAGCAAGGGCAGAGAAGGGGGCAGAGGGAGGGCAGATGGAAGGGCACACATCTTACACACCAGGCACAATTTCCGTAGGGTCGTGGTAAAGGTCTTCTCCCCCTATTGCGTGGAAAATACGACCTCCTAGCCCTTCCATTATCATAAACGAACTCAAGAATGTTATATCTATTTTTTTGTCCCCTTCCCCTCCTCCCGCTGCTGCCCCTCCGTCTTCCCCACCCACTACTTCTATCATTCCATCGTCCCCTCCATCTGCCCTCCCTCTTACGCACCTTCTGTCCCTCCTTCTCCTACCTCCTTCAATCTTCCTAATTTTACAGGTTTTCCACTTCAGCTTTCTTTGTTGCCCTCCGTGCCCTCTTTCTGCTCTCAGTGCTGCCATCTGTGCGTCCCTCTCCACTTTCCGCCTATCAGACGTAGGTGGAACAGTGGAATGACTTCGCCACAAATGGGATTGACATTCTCGTGTACCAGTATAATGCCCTGCGTGACGCCTCACATGCCCTTTCTACTGCCCTCTCTGCTGCCCTCTCCACTCCCCTCTCCGCCCTCTTCACTCCCTTTATCAGGCGCAGGTGGAGTAGTGGATTGACTTCGCCACTAGTGGATCGGGCCGCTCTACCAGTGTAGAGCCTTATGTCATGCCTCACATGCCTTTTCTGCTGCCCTCTCTGCCCCCCTCTGCTGCCCTCTCTCTACTGCCCTTCTCTCTCCCGTCATCAGGCGCAGGTGGAGCAATGGATTGACTTCGCCACCAATGAGATCGACACCCCTGTCTACCAGTGGATCGGGCCGCTCTACCAGTATGGCACCAGGATTCCGGAGGTACGTGGGGACTAGAAAAGGGACGGGGGTCGGCTGACGGGTGTGTGTGAGAGTCAAGCCTGTGAAAAACACCGGTCTTCAGTCTACCAGTGGATTGGGCCTCTCTACCAGTATGGCACCAGGATTCCAGTGGTAAACAAGGATTGGAAAAGGGATGAGAGTCGGATCTGAATACAGGTGTGTGTGAGTCAAGCGTTTGAAGAACACCAGTCTCCTGTGTACCAGCAGATCAGATAGGGCCGCTTTACCCAAGGATAATCAACACTGGGCTCCTGTCTACCAGTGGACTATGCCAGTATGGCAACAGAGTCAAGGACAGGAGGTACGGCCCTGCTGTGGTCGCATGGTAGGAAGACAGGTGTGTGTGGGTCAAGGCTGAAGTGCTTGATCGACACCAGGCTCCTCATTTTTACCAGTGGATAGGGCCTCTCTGCCAGTATGGCAACAGAGTTAAGGGCAAGGAGGTACGGCCCTGCTCTGGTAAAGCTACAGCTGCTTCGTTTGCCAGCCACTCCTACCTGCGTGCTGTTGTTGGAGTCCTGGTTCATGCCTTTTTCAGAGCAATCCAGCCCCTTTCCTCCTTGGCAGGTGGAGGAGAAGGCGATAGTGAATGCCAAGCGCGGCCTGGTGGCTCTCAAAGCCCACCTCGCCGACCACACGTACCTGCCTGGTGGGGGAGCAACTCGTGTCATTTGCCTGTGATATTCCCTTTAACCATTCTTTTCCTTGTTGCCAGGTGGAGGAGAAGGATATCATAAACGCCAAGAGGGGCCCTGCAGCACTGAACTCGCATCTCGCCGACCACACGTACCTGGTGGGGGAGTGGGTGACGCTATTCTGATACCTTGTTGCTACCTTGGCAGGTGGAGGAGAAGGCTATCGTAAACGCCAAGAGGGGCCTCGCAGCTCTGAATTCGCACCTCGCCGACCACACGTACCTGGTGGGGGAGCGGGTGACGCTCGCTGACATCATCACGGTGTCGGTGCTGACGTCACCCATCCGGGGCCTGTGGAGTGAGGAGTTCATGCGGGATTACCCCCACGTGCAGCGGTATTTCTTCACCCTGGTTCATCAGAAGCAATTCAAGGCAGTCATTGGGGACGTGGAGCAGGTGAGGAGGGGGTTTGACATGGTTAGCTGGCAGGTAGGCAGGTGGTGAGGAGTTCATGAGGGATTACCCCCACCCCACCCCACGTGCAGCGATTATTCTTTACCCTGGTTCACCAGAAGCAGTACAAGGCTGTCATTGGGGACGTGGAGCAGGTGAGAAACATACTGTGGTGGCTCCATCGTTGGTTGGAGTGAGGAGTTCATGCGGGATTACCCCCACGTGCAGCGGTATTTCTTCACCCTGGTTCATCAGAAGCAATTCAAGGCAGTCATTGGGGACGTGGAGCAGGTGAGGAGGGGGTTTGACATGGTTAGCTGGCAGGTAGGCAGGTGGTGAGGAGTTCATGAGGGATTACCCCCACCCCACCCCACGTGCAGCGATACTTCTTTACCCTCGTTCATCAGAAGCAGTTCAGGGCTGTGATTGGGGACGTGGTGCAGGTGAGGAGGGAGGGGGAGAGGGGGGGGGGGGGGGGGGGGGGAGGTAATATGGTTAGTTGGCAGGTAAGAAGAGGGATTAACTCCACGTGCAGCGATACTTCTTCACCCTCCTGCACCAGAAGCAGTTCAAGGCTGTGATTGGGGAGGTGGAGCAGGTGAGAGACCAACTTAGCATCGTATCTTGTCATGTATCGTATGGATGGGACTACCCCCACGTGCAGCGATACTTCTTTACCCTTGTTCACCAGAAGCAGTTCAAGGCTGTGATTGGGGAGGTGGAGCAGGTGAGGAAGGGGCCTGAATGGTAATCTGCTGTAGGTGATGAGGCGATTTTTTAGTCGACTCAAGAATGGTAATCTGCTGTAGGTGGGTAGAGAGGTGAGGTACTAAAGGTGTGCAGCGATACTTGTTCACCCTCGTGCATCAGAAGCAGTTCAGAGGCGGTTATCGCAGAGGTGGAGCAGGTGAAGGGTGGGGGTTGAGGGGATTAGGGTAGGTGCTTCCTTTGTTTGTGGGAGAGGTGCAGTTCAAGCGGTAATCGCAGAGGTGGAGCAGGTGAGCTAGTTTATAGAGTTGATGAGGGAGAGGGAGTAGTTCAAGGCCTTTCCTCTCCCCCTTATCACACAGAATGCCAAGCCAAGGTACCCACAGAGATCGTCAAGTGGGAGGACTCGCCTCTCTTCAAGCTCATGAAGCCCAAAGCTGGACGACAAAGCAGCATTCACCCCTTGTCTCTCCCTTTCTTTCCGCCCATCCTCTTCTCCCCATCATTCATCCCCCTCTTCTCCTCTCCCCCCTTATTCAGATCGCCAAGGTACCCACAGAGATTGTCAAGTGGGAGAACCCGCCCCTCTTCAAGCTCATGAAGCCCAAACAGGACGACAAAGGTGCACCCACCCTTATCCCTTCCTTTCCTTCCCAACCTGCCCTCCTTCTTTTCGTCCTGTGTTTCCCCCTTCCTCCAGATTGCCAAGGTACCCACTGAGATTGTCAAGTGGGAGGACTCGCCCCTCTTCAAGCTCATGAAGCCAAAGCCGGACGACAAAGCAGCTGCACCCGCGGCAGCAGCACCAGCACCAGCAGCAGCAGCGGGAGGGGGTGAGGGCGAGGAGGGGGCACCCAAGCCCAAGGCGAAGAACCCTCTTGACCTGCTGCCGCCCAGCCCCATGGTGCTGGATGCGTGGAAGAGGCTTTATTCCAACACTAAGGCAAACAACTTCAGAGAAGTGGCGATCAAAGGTGAGATGTGAGGCAGTTTGAGGCAGCACGGGTAATGCATGTGAAGGGGAGGAGGGGGCACCCAAGCCCAAGGCGAAGAACCCTCTTGACCTGCTGCCTCCCAGCCCCATGGTGGTGGATGCATGGAAGAGGCTTTACTCCAACACCAAGGCGAACAACTTCAGAGAGGTGGCCATTAAAGGTGAGCTCTCTTGAGCTCTGGTTGACATGGATGGTCCGGAAGTACGTGTTCCATGCGGAGGGCTGCTCAATTTGGTTCGGTGACTCCATCCTCCCCCACCCCTCCTCCCTTCCCCAACACACACACACATCCACACACACATACAACAGGCTTCTGGGAAATGTTCGACGCTGAGGGCTACTCCCTCTGGTTCTGCGACTACAAGTTTAACGACGAGAACACGGTCAAGTTCGTGACGCTTAACAAAGTGTCGGGGTTCTTACAGCGCATGGACCTTGCCCGGAAGTACGCGTTTGCCAAGATGTGCATTCTGGGGCCGGACGAGGGCCCGTTTGTGATCAAGGGCGTGTGGCTGTTCCGCGGGAGCGAGGTGCCACCGTTTGTGATGGAGGAGTGCTACGACTGCGAGTTGTACGAGTGGAGCAAGGTGAGAATGAGAGAAAGAGAGTGGCAGGGCGATCAAATTAGGGTATGTCGGAGTGAGGTGCCGCCGTTTGTGATGGAGGAGTGCTATGACTGCGAGCTATGAGTGGAGCAAGATGAGGCTGTAACGCCCTTTTTAGGGGCCCAGATTTTAAGGTGTGTGCCGCAGTTTGTCATGGACGGGTGCTACGACTGCAAGCTGTACGAGTGGAGCAAGGAGACCCCCCTTCCCCTCCCGTTTACTCTCATTCCTCTTCCTAACATAAGCTCTTTCACAAGAGGCGAGAAACCCCTTGCTTCATGCATCCTTCACTGCCCTCCTGCACTCTCCTCCGCTCTGGTCTGCTCTGCTTCACTCATGCCTGCTGTATCGCACGACACTTCACCTGTGCACGTTGCTTTCCAGGTGGACCTGAGCGACGAGGCGCAGAAGGAGCGTGTGAACGCTTACTTTGAGGAACCCGATGAGATCGATGGGCTCAAACTGCAGGAGGCCAAGTGCTTCAAGTAGAGCTCCCTACCTTCCGAGCAAAGCTGCAAGTACAGATGCTTGCTTCATGGCAATGTTACAGTTGTTGCTAGCGTCATCTAGAGTGCCGTGCAGTAGGAATGTTGTAGTGACTGTCACCTCCAGTAAGAGCAAGTCATGTTGGATACACAAGCTTTTCTTCCAGATGGTGTGGTGAAGAAAGTTCATCTTTAGTGTTGAGAGATATAGGTCTCTTAGCATTTCTGAAATTCGCAGTTAGACTATACAGTAGTGAAACAGTACAATATGGGTCCCGAACTTGATGACGTCAGCATTCGGATTCAGCTGACTAGTCAAAGTAGCTCTAGGCCTAGGTCAACAAACAGCCACTTTCATTAGTGTCTACAGGTCAACACCCCTAGAATGACGAATAGATACATTCGGCTACAAAATACGAACAGATACTTTACTCTAGCTATATATTTTGTATGCTTGTCATTTTATAATATATCTGATTTCAGAGACATAGATCCTGAAACATATCACTACATGGGCTTATATTAGTCCAGACAAAACCTCCTACAACTGGCTTTAACTCATACAAGTCTTCCACTGCCAATACTTAGTCTTTAATCCAAGATACTACGATCCTGAAAAGGGCTTCGTCCCTTAACCAATTCTACGGGTTTCCAACCCATTCCATCATTTAGAACATACGATCAGATCAAGTAGGTACTGTATGCCGGTTTGGTACCTATTTCTACCACGGCAAACTAATGAAATATGACGATTCACGACAATGCAACAACACTACCACCTCACGGTGACGAGATTATTTCAAGGCATCATCACATCATCCTAGCTTTGACCCATCTGAAGGACAAGTTAGTAACTATGGTTCGCATGTAAACATCCAATCTCAATTACTACCTGCGAAGTCACCGTGATTCATTGCACAGCATACCATCATACCGTGATCTCAGAAAGCACAGCAACTCGAATTGGTTGTTGGAGGCGAACACCAGCACTCAGCCTCAACCTAGTCGTAGCTTGAATTAAGGAAGCGCAGAAGCTCAGATCGATTGGCTTCAGCTACCTTGTCGTCCTTGGTCTTGTCCACCTTCATGCGAATCTGAACGAAGAAACCAAAGGGTGTTTAACAAGCTGAGATCAGATCAGAAGCTCATAATCATGGGAAGTGAGGCTCTGAAGGAAGAAGCCTGCACGCCAACAAAGGCCTCCACTGGCTGACTTTGTTCAATGATTTCATAACTTTATTCGCTCGGCTCCAGATTCCTCGCCTCTGTGCATGGCTCTGATGTGACCCATTTTCTGACGTACCTTCTTGCCTGATATGACACTGTAGCGTGTGGAGCCATCGTCGCGACCAAGAAACTGGGCAAGATCGGCAAAAAGTAAGTGGAAGGAAGGGACAGTGCAAAATGAGGAGTGCTTGACCTGTAATCTCTTGGAGACGATGTCACAAACACACCCAGGATAGGGAAATGATAGCAATCGGAACAGGGAAAAAAAATCAAGATCCAAAAGCAGGTTGAATTATGTATTGCTGAATTATGGAGCTCCCAATCCGGCAAATGATGATTTTAAGAGGAACTGACCTGTGAGAGCTGCACTGGGCCTGGTGTTGCTTCACCAGAGGATTTGGATCCTTTCTGAATGATGAGAAGAAGAGCACAACGATTTAATGCATCGACGAACCAATAACAACACAGGCAAATGCGCATTCAAACAAAGATGGTAATGGCATCGAACCGGAGGTTTCAAATAAAGGCATATCCGCAGTGATGAAGCAGGTCGATAAACCGGGTAGAGACTCCAGCGAGAATTAGCAGGATTGTGTTGACGAATTTCGAGGCCGAAAGGTGTGTCGACGTAAGGAGTTGCACTCGAGGAGTGGAGTAGACAGGATGGCGGCACGTGACACGGTCCATGTGACACGGTGCCACAATGGGAGCTCCAGTAAGGAGAGATTCGGAGATGACATAGATATAATTACGGGATGTGACATGCATACATGCACATCCAACACCCCCCACATTCGGACATGCGAAGAAACACATGCACACACACGGACAGGAGAACGGTCATCATGCAGGCAGAAGGGAAAGAAACAGGGATAAAATTAGCAAGTTGACATGGCCTTTAGTTAAGAGGATGCAGAAATCAGTTGGCAGCATTTGGCTTGCAGAAGTGCTTGCAAGGCAGGCATCACTGCATGGCACATCTGCACGTCTTCTTGACACAGCTTCAACACAAGCAAGTACCTTGTCTGATGATCGCCTTTTGCTTTTTCCCTTCTTGTCCGACCGCCTGTCCCTGCTGGATCGGCGACGGTCATGACGGCTGCTGCTCTTCTTCTGATTCTCCTCGTTCATCCTTCCCATGCACGCATACGCATCCCAACGACCTCATCGCATCACCGCACCCATCCCAACCCCCCTCCAGTCCAGTCACCCCGTAAGAAGAAAAAGACCAGTATAAGCAGCTTTAGAATAGCAGAAGGCATCGGATACTAGGAAAAACAAGAAACAGTTCACCGGAAAGGCACTGTGTAAGATGGCCATGGATTCAAAACAAAAAAGCAAAAACAAAAAGGCAAGAAAAACAAGTTCGTCGGAGGTTGTTAGGCCTTAACGATACTCAGAGACATATGACACATGATATAAATCTAGACCTATACTGGGCGGACTAAGGTATGACCAATACTAAGAGCAAGCAAGAATTTTTACCTTGCTGCTAGATGACTTGGACGATCTTGACTTCCGTTTACTCCTGTCGTCTTCACTGGAATCACTGTCCTCCGATCCATCGCTATCGCTGCTGCTGTTCGAACGACTCCTGAAAGAAGAAAATTTGAGACAAAACAAAAGATGAATGAGTTAGCGGAACAAAAAACTCCGAAACATCATAAGAGTGGAATTAAGGGACACCATGTCAACAGGGAAGCTTAAAAAAGGAAGAGCATTCACCTATTTCGACGCTTCCCCTCTTTCTCTCGTCTTTTCTTCCTCCTGCTGATCTCGCTCTCGTCGCTGCTGTATCCACTACTTGAAGCTTCTGACCCGCTGTCGTCGCTGCCGTCGCTGGAGTCGCTGGAGTCGCTGGATTCGCGTCGTCGTCGCTTACGACGCTTCTGCTCGCGATCCTTCCTGTCCTTCTTTTCGCTGCGAGGCTTGTCCTCCTTGCTCAAGCTCCTTCTCTTCCGGTCTCGCTTATCTTCCCGATGGTCCTCCTCTTCACTAGAGCTGGAGACCGCCATGATTTTTTTATCAGAAACGGCCAGCAAACAATTTCCAGAAATGATGAGCACCGGAACTTCCCAGTAAGCTCGTCTGAAGGACGTCACTGAGTCTAGGTGATCATAAGATGCTGAGGCACTCTTCAAGATAAAGGCGTCACAATTTGTCGTACACCTCCACTTGCACCAGACTCATTGGCGCAGACGAATGATTCAAAGTACGCCTAAAAGTGTTGTAGGAGCCTCATGAGAAACTCGGCCAGCGCTCAATGGCAGGTGTTGAGACGGACACGTCTTTATCCACCACATCCATCAACTTTAGGTCTTGTGTAGGGCGTGTTTCATTTTCCTCAATTCCATGTTTTTTCAAGTGAGGCGAGCTGTCGACCTACAGTCGGTGAACAAAAGCTAGGTTCGGGTTTCATGTGTTTTGGAAGGATGGGTTCGCACGAAAGGTTCAGGATTTGAAGGACATGAAACGCCATCACGATTAAGGGTTCACGGTTCAGGTTACGGAATGTGACTGCGGACACGAGGTTGTTGAAGGACTTGGCAAAGTTCGGTGTACAGAAGTAACGAAGTTCGTTCGGAATGATTGGTTGGGGTTAGGCTCACAGCACTCACTGCGGTCTGGCTCAAACCGCCAGACACTTAGGGAGCCTGTCCCGAAGTTTGGTGCCGTTCAAGAACACACCCTCAGTTCCAACATCAATTGCCCTAGTTCTATCCTTTTCAAAGCATCATATGCGTTTTCTTTCTGCTTTATTGGAAAGGGTCCAGTGCAGGCTCACAACCATCCTTGCCACCATTCACTGACGAAATGGGGGACTCCTCAGGTTAGTCGTCAAACATTTAGGATATAATCGATGTGTGTGCAACCTAATGGTCGTGTGTCCATTCAGGTAAAGTTTCCACTGAACTTGAGCGTGGAACGACGGCGCTAGTGCCATGGATGGGAAACCATTCACCACCGGGATTCGAGGAAGTATATCCAGACGGGTTATCGGAGGAAAGGTACGATGTCGGAGACGATGTCTTGCAATGCAACTTGCCCATAACCGCTGCATTGTACTTTTAAGCGAATGCAGAGGAGGTAGACATCGTGCATTTCTGAAGCCTCTTAAGGCGTCGGAGGTGTATTCCAGTGGCATTACGCTCCAAAGGTGCAGCAATATGTCTCAACCTGCGATGAGCGTGGACAACGAACGTAAACGCAAGCAACCGAGCGGCCAGGAAAACTGTCAGCCTCTTACTCTGATACGTCGTGACCGTTCAAGTGACCCTTCTTGCGGAAAAAACGAACGACATGTTGAGCTCTCTTCATACGAAACTGACATCCGAAAGAAGCGCCAGAAACGCACAAAGCAAAGCAGGTGAGTGCTTCACGAATTCAATCAGGAAAATTCCTCCTAAACAAAATTACCTATTCTGCAGATGGAGTGGTGAGCTTACATCGGCCTCCGCCGGTAAGAGTACGCACTGCATGGCTGACAAGTGGATGGGTTTCGTAAGGGATACTGCTATTTTCTTTTTATGCGTTCAGCATCGTCATATCGCACTATGAGCTGTGTCTACATGCCAGGATCCAGTCGCAGAGAGCGGGATAGGGAGAGGCTTGAAGTAAGCATAAGCTTGACTACGGTTGGCATTTACTTGAAACTTTCTGTACAGTGTCAAATTATCCACCTTTATGCAGAGTGCACGAGCTGAAAACCCCAAGAAGGCTGAACGAATATTGGCAAATCGACAGTCAGCGGAAAGATCTCGCTTACGAAGGCTCAATGCTATCTCAATGTTATCAGAAGAGGTGACACCGCAATGGTTTTACTGCAGCTATCCTTTCAAATCCAGCAAACCATTCATGTCTAGCATGCACAACAACAGGTCTATCAGCTCAAATCTGAGAAGGCAAAAACGCACACCGAGATGATACAGCTCAAGGTAAGCATTGCTTTGGTGTGGCATGCCGCCTGTCCTGTTGCTGAATGTGCTGGTATCTTGCGCAGGAGTCGTTAATGGCTGTTAGTATGAAGACACATGAACTAGCAGAAGCCTTGAACTCTAAGACAGCACTGGTTGACGTAAGGAGCCCTATTACATCCAGGTGCGCCTACTGAAGTTTATATTGGGTTATCTGCTTATGCTCTGGCATTCATATAGGCCCTCAAGGAAGCGCTGAAAAGCTCCGGACAAGTTGATATCTTCACTCGCTGCTGTGAAGCGGTCCACCAGGTGGCTGGGCATGTGTGAAAGTTCCAGCAGGTGGAAATGAGAACCGGACATGTATTTATTTATTATGGATGATGGCTCCACCGATGGTCCTCCAAGGTTTCGGAACTTCCAACCATATCCAAAGCGATTTATCAGAGCACAGCTGCAAGTCATATCTACTTTCATTACCGTTGCATCTGCAAACGCCTCCTTGTTTTTTATGGGCGCTGAAGGTCGATGAAGGAACTCCAGTGTTTTCATGCAGTCATTGTTGTGTCTAGGACTGTAAATTTCCTTTGTCCTGGTGGAAGCTTTTTTGCTAGGAGAAACCTCTCTTACCATGGAATTAAGAACCACAGAAAGAATCAGGCTTGAGGTGTTCTGCTACGTTTTCCAAATAGTGCACCAATGTGCATGCAGAGCATATGGTCCCTCCCATCCCCCCACCCTCCAAACCCAGTAAACCTTTCAAAAACTGGTCCCTTGAAATCGAACGCTCTAATCGGTGCATCCATGTTAATATCCGGCCGCAAATCATGTGGCAACAGTCTTGGAAGCTGCAAACCTTGTTTAGAACACTGATCCACGGCCGAAGAAGCATTCCCCGTTACATTCACAACAACAAAATCGCTCTCCATCTTTCTGTACCGCTCTGTTCCCCCACCATGACTGTCAAGTCGGCCCCTCGGGTTCACACGAGCATCAGCATCCAAGACATGCTCCTCCCCAAGCTCAGATTTAGTCTTATTCTTTCGAACGAGGTAGTGGGCGGGTGCCTCCGGCTTTTCTGAGTGCAGGCCACAACGGCCAAAGTGATGAGCAGAAGCAGCCGACCAGCGGAGTGAGGAGGACTGGCGCCAATAGTGGAAGATGGATTCGGAGAGAGACACATCCCAATTGTAGTCGTCAAAGTAACAAAAGTACTGCTCATGAGCCGGTGGGGGGGAAGGGGAGGGGGAGAATGGACACAGGAAGGGTGACATGAATGATGGGGTTTGGGCTGAGTGGCGCCAATAGTGGAAGATGGATTCGGAGAGCGACACGTCCCAATTGTAGTCGTCAAAGTAACAGAAGTACTGTTCACAAATTGGGGTTGGGGAGACGGGGAGGATGGATACAGGAAGGGTAACAAGGGTGTGGGGTTTGGGCTGACTGGTGCCAGAAGTGGAAGATGGATTTGAAAAGCAGCATGTCCCAAATGTAGTCCTCAAAGTAGCAGAAGTACTGCAATGAACCGCGGGAGAGATGGGGATGCATCTAGGAAAGGTGGTGGGAAAAGGACAGTGCGAACGCACCTCACCTTGTGGGACCTGCGAATCTGCTCACACACGCTCCTGTTGATTGCATACCTCACGTTCCCAATCCTCTCGTGCTTGATTTCATCTCACCTTGTGGGACATGCGAATCTGCTCCCACACACTCTGATTAAACACATACCCCACATTTCCCATCCTCTCGCACACAAACGTGCTAACCCCACTCTCCAGACAGATTTTAGTATTGCGCGTGGCTTCAACTCACCTTGTGGGACTTGTGAATCTGCTCCCGTGTGTGATGAGGCGATTTTTGAGTCGACTAAAAAAACTCACCTTGTGGGACTTGTGAATCTGCTTCCACACGCTCCTGTTAAACGCGTACCCCACGTTCCCCATCCTCTCGCGCACAAACGCCCTCAGCCCGCTCTCCCCTCGGGATTTCACGTTTGAGGGCGCGAGCGTGACCGCCACACACTCGGGGCACCGCGCGTTCTTCACGCGAATGAGGGATTTCAGGTGGGCGAGCGCGTTGGGGAAGAGCAGATGGTCCTCCTCGATAAAGAGCATGTGGCCGGTGAAGGTGTTGGTTTCTGAGAGGCCGTCCCACACTGTGTTCTGCATCCACCACCAGTAGGAAACGGGGGGAGGGAAGGGAAAGGGAAAGAGCGGGGAGGGTAGGAAACGGGAGGAGGGGAAAGAGGAGGGGTCACAGCGTGTTCTTCACACGTATGAGTGCGTGCAAGTGGGCGAGCGCGTTGGGGAAGAGCAGGTGGTCCTCCTCTATGAAGAGCATGTGTCCGGTGAATGAGTGGGTTTCTGTGAGGCCGTCACGCTCCCTCCTCTTTCCTGCCCTTCTGATTGTATCACGGGCCTGGTTATACCTTTAGAGCAACGAAGTGTGGGTCTCTGTATCGCCCTTTCTGGTCCACGTCTCCAAAACACGCTCCCATCACTTTTGCAAGCACTACCTATTCCCTGACCTTACTGAATGACTAGTCCCGCAACATGTACCTTTAACGCCATGAAGTGTGGATCCCTGTACCGCCCATTCTGGTCCACGTCTCCAAAACACGCTCCCTCCTCTTTCCTCTCCTCCTGCTGCCCCTCCTCCTGCCCGTTTTCAAGACCCTCCTTCTGCCCATTTTCCTGCCCCTTTCCCTGCCCCGTTTCCTGCCCGTTTTTCTGCCCTTTTCTCTGCCCCTCCTCCTCGTGCTGCCCGTCTCTGCGGCCTTTAAAGCTGCTGCTAGGAGGGCAGTCTAAGGGGGAGCGGTTGGGGAAGGAGCCATTTTGGAGGTGCAGGGAGAGGGGGAAGTAGATCTGCTTGACACAGCAGAAGGTGATTGAGCGGATGAGGGCGTCGACTGCAGGGAAGAACCCATCGTGGCTGTTGAATAGGGAGGGGAAAATGGGCGCAGAAGGGGAGGAGAGCGCGGGAATGAGCAGTTGCGGAGGTGTGGGGAGAGGGGAAGGAGATCTGCTTGACACGGCAGAAGATGACTCAACGGAAGTGCGAGTCGACTGCTGGGAAGTACCCATCGTGGCTGTTGAGAGGGGAGGTGGGGGGAGTGGGCGCAGAAGGGGAGGAGAGGGAGGGAAGGAACCGTTTTGGAGGTGCAGGGAGAGAGGGAAGTAGATCTGCTTGACACGGCAGAAGGTGACTCAACGGATGAGGGCGTCGACTGCAGGGAAGAACCCATCGTGGCTGTTGAATAGGGAGGAAATGGGGGCAATGGGGACAATGGGGACAATGGGGACAATGGGGACAATGGGGACAATGGGGACAATGGGGACAATGGGGACAATGGGGACAATGGGGACAATGGGGACAATGGGGACAATGGGGACAATGGGGACAATGGGGACAATGGGGACAATGGGGACAATGGGGACAATGGGGACAATGGGGACAATGGGGACAATGGGGACAATGGGGACAATGGGGACAATGGGGACAATGGGGACAATGGGGACAATGGGGACAATGGGGACAATGGGGACAATGGGGACAATGGGGACAATGGGGACAATGGGGACAATGGGGACAATGGGGACAATGGGGACAATGGGGACAATGGGGACAATGGGGACAATGGGGACAATGGGGACAATGGGGACAATGGGGACAATGGGGACAATGGGGACAATGGGGACAATGGGGACAATGGGGACAATGGGGACAATGGGGACAATGGGGACAATGGGGACAATGGGGACAATGGGGACAATGGGGACAATGGGGACAATGGGGACAATGGGGACAATGGGGACAATGGGGACAATGGGGACAATGGGGACAATGGGGGACAATGGGGACAATGGGGACAATGGGGACAATGGGGACAATGGGGACAATGGGGACAATGGGGACAATGGGGACAATGGGGACAATGGGGACAATGGGGACAATGGGGACAATGGGGACAATGGGGACAATGGGGACAATGGGGACAATGGGGACAATGGGGACAATGGGGACAATGGGGACAATGGGGACAATGGGGACAATGGGGACAATGGGGACAATGGGGACAATGGGGACAATGGGGACAATGGGGACAATGGGGACAATGGGGACAATGGGGACAATGGGGACAATGGGGACAATGGGGACAATGGGGACAATGGGGACAATGGGGACAATGGGGACAATGGGGACAATGGGGACAATGGGGACAATGGGGACAATGGGGACAATGGGGACAATGGGGACAATGGGGACAATGGGGACAATGGGGACAATGGGGACAATGGGGACAATGGGGACAATGGGGACAATGGGGACAATGGGGACAATGGGGACAATGGGGACAATGGGGACAATGGGGACAATGGGGACAATGGGGACAATGGGGACAATGGGGACAATGGGGACAATGGGGACAATGGGGACAATGGGGACAATGGGGACAATGGGGACAATGGGGACAATGGGGACAATGGGGGACAATGGGGACAATGGGGACAATGGGGACAATGGGGACAATGGGGACAATGGGGACAATGGGGACAATGGGGACAATGGGGACAATGGGGACAATGGGGACAATGGGGACAATGGGGACAATGGGGACAATGGGGACAATGGGGACAATGGGGACAATGGGGACAATGGGGACAATGGGGACAATGGGGACAATGGGGACAATGGGGACAATGGGGACAATGGGGACAATGGGGACAATGGGGACAATGGGGACAATGGGGACAATGGGGACAATGGGGACAATGGGGACAATGGGGACAATGGGGACAATGGGGACAATGGGGACAATGGGGACAATGGGGACAATGGGGACAATGGGGACAATGGGGACAATGGGGACAATGGGGACAATGGGGACAATGGGGACAATGGGGACAATGGGGACAATGGGGACAATGGGGACAATGGGGGACAATGGGGACAATGGGGACAATGGGGACAATGGGGACAATGGGGACAATGGGGACAATGGGGGACAATGGGGACAATGGGGACAATGGGGACAATGGGGACAATGGGGACAATGGGGACAATGGGGACAATGGGGACAATGGGGACAATGGGGACAATGGGGACAATGGGGACAATGGGGACAATGGGGACAATGGGGACAATGGGGACAATGGGGACAATGGGGACAATGGGGGACAATGGGGACAATGGGGACAATGGGGACAATGGGGACAATGGGGACAATGGGGACAATGGGGACAATGGGGACAATGGGGACAATGGGACAATGGGGACAATGGGGACAATGGGGACAATGGGGACAATGGGGACAATGGGGACAATGGGGACAATGGGGACAATGGGGACAATGGGGACAATGGGGACAATGGGGACAATGGGGACAATGGGGACAATGGGGACAATGGGGACAATGGGGACAATGGGGACAATGGGGACAATGGGGACAATGGGGACAATGGGGACAATGGGGACAATGGGGACAATGGGGACAATGGGGACAATGGGGACAATGGGGACAATGGGGACAATGGGGACAATGGGGACAATGGGGACAATGGGGACAATGGGGACAATGGGGACAATGGGGACAATGGGGACAATGGGGACAATGGGGACAATGGGGACAATGGGGACAATGGGGACAATGGGGACAATGGGGACAATGTCCTCAAACAAGGGAACAAGGAAGAGGCGCACAAGAGGCGGAGAGGAAGGGAAGGAGGCGATTTGGAGTTCGGGGAGAGGGGGAAGTAGATCTGCTTGACACGACAAGAGGTGAGCGCACGAGGGCGTCGACTGCAGGGAAGTAGCTGTGGTGGCTGTTAGATGGGGGGAGGGATGGGCGCAATGGGGAGGGATGGGCACAATGGGGAGGGATGGGCACAATGGGGAGGGATGGGCACAATGGGGAGGGATGGGCACAATGGGGAGGGATGGGCACAATGGGGAGAATGGGGGCACAGAAGGTGACTGAACCCACGAGCGAATCAACGGCAGGGAAGTACCCGTCGTGGCTGTTAGATGCAGGGAGGGATGGGCACAATATGGGGGAAGAAAGGGCTGTTGGCGGGGGGGCAATGGGGAAGTAGATCTGCTTGACGCGACAAGAGGTGATTGAACGGACAAAGTGAGGGAATGAGAGGGAAGGAATGGGAGTATCGAGGAAGAGGAAAGGGCTGTTAGGGGGGAAGGGGGAAGTAGATCTGCTTGACGCGACAGAAGGTGATTGAAGGGATGAGAGAGTCAACTGCTGGTAAGAACCCATCGTGGCTGTTAGGTGGGGGGAGGGAATGCGGGCAGATTAAGGAGTGGAGTGAGGATAGGGGAGGAAGAATGCGCCGAGGACCTGTTATTACTAGCACCCCTACCTGCTCTCCCACTACTAGCACCCCTACCTGCTCTCTCACTACTAGCACCCCTACCTGCTCTCCCACTACTAGCACCCCTACCTGCTCTCCCACACACCCACCATATGCGCTCACTCACTCACACTCAGCGCACCTGACAATGAGGAGCCTTGCGTGCGAGAGAGCTCAGAGCACCCAGAGCCACCTTCAGATACTCCGCGTGCCTGTGCACCGCTGTGCACCCCTGTGCACCCCTGTGCACCACTAGCACCACTAGCACCACTAGCACCACTAGCACCACTAGCACCACTAGCACCACTTGCACCACTAGCACCACTGTCACCACTGCCTGCTCCCCTGAGGCACTTGGTTACCAGCAGGCACGCACCTGACAATGAGGAGGGTTTCGTTGATGCCTTGAACTCGAGAGAGAGCATCCAGAGGCACCTCCAGATACTCCACGTGCCTGTGCACAAACAGCACCACTATAGCTGCCTGCTCCCCATGCACCACACCTTGAACCCACTCACAGCGCACCTGACAATGAGGAGGGTTTCGTTGATGCCTTGGACTTTAGAGAGGGCATCTAAAGCCACTTTCAGGTACTCCGCCCTCCTGTGCACCCCTAGCAGCACCCTCTGCACCCACACACACTCATAGCGCACCTGACAATGAGGAGGGTTTCGTTGATGCCTTGGACTTTAGAGAGAGCATCCAGAGCCACTCTCAGGTACGCTTCCCTCCTGTGCACATACAGCACCACTATCACCTGTTCCTCCTGCCCTCCCACCCCTCCTTCTCCCCCTTGCCCTCCTTCCCTTCTTCTCTCCGCTTCCGCCCCTCCCTGCTCTGCTTCTCCCCTCCCCCCCTGACTTCCGCTCTCCTTTCCCCACACCCCACCGCCCCTCCCCACCCCTGCCTCGGGAAACTTATCCGCATTCCGAACCGGGAGCTCGTTCCTAGCCAGCAGGTCCGGCCGAGCCATGACGGGAGGCCACGGATTGCCGAGCCTCTTCCATTCTGCTACCGCCCACTTCGCCTGCTGCTCCTTCCTCGCAACTTCCGCCAGCATCTTAAGCAGCATATCGTATTTTGAGATCTTCCTCACCATCCTGCCTGCAACTATTCGAAGCTCCCCTCCCTCCCCTCCTCCCTTCCCTCCTCCCTTCCCACCTTCACCCCCATCTCTTCTCCCTCCTTTCCCTCTCGCCCCTCCCTTGCCCTCACCCACTCCCTTCCCCCCGTTCTGCTGCAATGTCAGCGCCTGTGCGTCTTTCTCCTCTAGCTTTCGCAACCACAGAGGCTTATGAGGAGACGAAGATTCATCCGCTCCTTCCTCATCTCCCTCCCCTCCTCCTTCCTCTTCTCCCCACTCTCCCGTCCCCTCCCCTTCCTTCATTCCCCCTACCAGCCAGCCCCACCAACCCCTGCCTGCGCTTTTCCGCCCTTCCGCCGTTTCCCCCCCTCCGCCCCAACCTGTTCCGCTGGTCCCTCCCCTCAGCCCTCCCCTCACGCCTCCATTTGCCCCTCTACTTCCCCCTCCGCTCCCCCTTCCGTTTTCCTCTCCTCTCCGCGCTCCTCCCCCTCCTCCCCCCTCCCCCTCCCCCCCTTCCGTTACTGACCACTAGCGGAGCGGCTCTGAAGCCGGTTGACTGCTGCAGGCTGTTGAGTGACGTGATCGTGACGTCATCAAGACCCAATGAGATGCGAGACTTGTGTGTGACACGCGCGTCCGCGCCGGTCACATCCTCAGATGCTAATGTAAAGGTGCTAGTTACATCATCAGTTGTTTGTGTAACAGTGCTGCCTACATCGTCACTATTCGCTCGTGTAACACTGCTGGTAACCAGCTTCTCGCTTTCGAACCCACTGCGCGCCGAGTCAGCTACAGTGCTGCCGATGGTACTGTAGCCCGCTACAGTAAGAGAAGCATCGGCTAAACTGGAGAAAGCAGTCGCATCCAGGGCAGCTAGAAATGTTTTTCCTCGGGCAGATGAAACTTCTGGCGAGGGAGGGAGGAAAGTGGAAGTTTGGTAATGGTGGAGGAAGAACATACCCGCTAAGAGCTGAAGGAGGAGCGCTACAGGAAGGAGAATCCGCTGAAATAGAGCAAACGTTGACGTAAAACGGAACGTTAACGGAAACCGTTTGGACTTCGGTGGTGGCTTGTTGTTCGCATGTGCGACAGCGACGACAGATCGCCATAGTTTCGAGAAAAACATGGTCGCCAATGTGGCGAATTAACACTTCTTTGTGTTACGACTGCGAATTATGAGTTTAATGGCAAAGGTGGCCACATCAGATCAACTGGGCCGTCGATCCAAAGAGGTGGCTTTGGATCGGAGAGTAAGCGAACCAACTTCAAAATACGAGAAACGAAACCTGTCGCAGCCTTTCGATCTGGTACAGAAACAGGTAGTCATGGCGGTACTAACGAAGGGTGCTAAACATATCAAACACTGACGCTAGACGCACAGAAGGAAGGAGCTCGCTGAAGCAGTGGCGCTTGAGTATGAATGGACAGAACGCGGTGAGAAGTGAATGGAGCTCCAATGCAAGGTTAGGTTGGTGAAGTAAATGTGTATCAATCAAGGTTAGGAGCTCCAATGAAACAGCGTTCAAATCCATCCTCGCCAATTTCGAATGCTACTGTAGAGAGTCGATCATTCAACCGTTGGTTGGAGCTGGAATGTGTCAGAACTGTCAGACACATTCGTGGCGGGAAACAAAATATCGTGTGTACAGACTAGTTCAATTAAGGAAGATCCGATGTTTCTTTTGTAAGATTGAAAAAGTCGAGACCGAGAGAATAGCTGCATAATGAGCTTGTAGGAAAAGTCATCACACTACAGTCAATCATCTGATAAATCAAGAAAATTGACTTCACACCTTGATTCCCGACAACACGTACATCTCATTCATGATCTCTGGATTGGGAATACATCCAAACATCACGCATACTGCGATTGTTTTTTTCAACAAATATTGCACAGCCAATCACAGCAGCATCAGATCACCCGACTGTACAAGTGTTTGGATTGGCCTATATCGCAGAATGTGGAGCTCTCCAGGCGCCATGCCGATGATGTCATCCTGCCTGGAAGTTTAAGAAAGGTTTGGAAAAATGCAGGATTTGAGTTGGTGTTGAGAAAAGCAGGGTTAGGGAAGAACAGCACGGGGCCTGGGAATATGTGGCTGAAAAGTATACTAAGTAATATGAAGGAGCCTCGTGTTCGAGTGCCACAAGCTGCAGCATGAAATGAGAGGATCCTAAAATCAATGTCGTACCTCACCAGGAGCCAGAGTCGTATTTGCAAGTAAAAAATGGGACACTAGGAAAGAGACTAAGAAGTTTGGTTTATTTTTTTTGTCATAATACTCACCAGTACCGGTAACTTATTTACATCACTCACTCGGGGTCCAGCTGGACAGACGGCAGAGGGCGAGTGGCCACACAGAACACAAGATGTGAACAAAACACTAACGTCCCCGCTGTGATACGTCACAACCTTTTACTCCTGGTTGCACTCACTCGGGGTCCAGCTGGACAGACGGCAGAGGGCGAGTGGCAACGCAGAACACAAAGGTGTCGAGGTCCGGAGTGGGGACTGCACAGGAAGGGTTAATCAGTTGGAAAGAGACGGGCAATGTGGTTTGGAAATCATGGGTTGTTTGGCCAGCTGGACAGAAGGCTGGGAGGGAGTTGCCACCCAGAACGCAGAAGTGCCGAGGCAGGGAGAGGGAGATGCAAAGGAGGGGTCATTCGGTTGACAGGATAAGACGAGCTGGTTAAAAAAACAGGTAGATTGACTTGAACAGAAAATAATAGAACCCTTCGAGCCCTTTAACCCTACAGCATGAAATTCGGCACTCACTCATATCCGGGGATTTGCCCGAGTCCGCCTGCTTCAGTTCGACTGGTAGCGGCGTGAGTAGACTGTAGAGCCATAGGCACCTTAAGCCCAGACACAAAACCCCCAACCCCCCAAATTCTAACCCTGAGACCCTGTGTAGCACTCACTCATGTCCGGGGCTTCGCTCGATTCCACCTGCTTGAGAACGTATGGACTGGTAGCGCCGTGGGTAGACTGTAGAGCCATAGGCACCTTACACTTGGAACGAGCCCCCCAAATTCTAACCCTGAGACCCTGTGTAGCACTCACTCATATCCGGGGATTCACTCGAATCCGCCTGCTTGAGAATGGACTGGTAGCGCCGTGGCAGGCGCGTGAGTGCAGTCCTGTCCAGATGCGCCTGCACCAGATCTACCTGCCTGGAGCAAAAAAGGAAGAAGATGGTAGAGAGGGGCTGATTGAGGAACACAGTCCTGTCCAGATGCGCCTGCACCAGATCTACCTGCCTGGAGAGGAGATACAAGGAGAAGGACACAAGGTGAAAGTTGATTATGAAGTACAGTCCTGTCCAGATGCGCCTGCACCAGATCTACCTGCAGATCACAGATTCACAGGACTGTAAGGACCCAAACTAGCTAGTTGACTCTCAAGCTGGCTGTTTCAAATACGCAAACGCCCTCACCTAACCAAGCCCATTTTCCCATCTGAACCAAGGCCTCGTTTTGACGCCTAGGTCGCACGTACCTATACAGCTGATGGAATGGGAATAAGGCCTTCGCAGCCCACCTGTCCACCTTCACCAAGTTTCGCTCTCAAGTGTTCAAGAGACGAGTTGTCAAGACTTCTCAAAACTCGTTTCTTGTAAAAGCACTAGAGATGTCTCACAACTCCTCAGAGCACTAGAGCATGGACACACAACAAGAAAGTACACAGCAGCAAGCACACATACCTGTCGCAGTACCGCTGCTCTCCTTCTAACAGCCGGCTGTGGTAGCTTTGAGGCGTCTCACAACTGCTCAGAGCACTAGAGCAGGCAGGCACACACAAGCAAGCAAGACCACACAAGCAAGCAAGACCACACAAGCAAGCACACAGCAGCGAGCTCACGTACCTGTCGCAGTACCGCTGTTCCCCATCCGACAGCCAGCTGTGGTAGCTTGAGACGCCTCACAACTCGTCAGAACACCAGAGCAGGCAGGCACACGAGCAGGCACACAGTAGCAAGCACACACACTCAGGCACACAGTAGCAAGCACACACACTCAGGCACACAGTAGCAAGCACACACACTCAGGCACACAGTAGCAAGCACACACACTCAGGCACACAGTAGCAAGCACACACACTCAGGCACACAGTAGCAAGCACACATACTCAGGCACACAGTAGCAAGCACACACACTCAGGCACACAGTAGCAAGCACACACACTCAGGCACACAGTAGCAAGCACACACACTCAGGCACACAGTAGCAAGCACACACACTCAGGCACACAGTAGCAAGCACACACACTCAGGCACACAGTAGCAAGCACACACACTCAGGCACACAGTAGCAAGCACACACACTCAGGCACACGTACCTGTCGCAGTACCGCTGTTCCCCATCTGACAGCCGGCTGTGGTAGCTCTCCTCACCAGCAAAGTGCAGAAAAAAACGGTCAATCTGCACAGAGGGAGAGGAGGGAGTGTAAAAGTGGTTGATTTGGGAGAGGGGGAACGAGGGAAAGAAAAAGACCAACCTCGCTGTTCCCCATCTGACAGCCGGCTGTGGTAGGTCGCTCTCCTCACCAGCAAAGTGCAGAAAAACCGGTCAATCTGCACGGGGGTGAGAGGGCAAGAGAAGGGAGAGTAAGTAAAGCAGTTGAAAGCCGGCTGTGGTAGCTCTCCTCACCAGCAAAGTGCAGAAAAACCGGTCAATCTGCACGGGGGTGAGAGGGCAAGAGAAGGGAGAGTAAGTAAAGCAGTTGAAAGCCGGCTGTGGTAGCTCTCCTCACCAGCAAAGTGCAGAAAAACCGGTCAATCTGCACGGGGGTGAGAGGGCAAGAGAAGGGAGAGTAAGTAAAGCAGTTGAAAGCCGGCTGTGGTAGCTCTCCTCACCAGCAAAGTGCAGAAAGAAGCGGTCGATCTGAGTAGGGTGGAGGGAGAGAGGAAGAGACAGGAAGAAGAATGTTGGAAGGGAGGGAGGTAGCTCACTGTGGTGAGAAACAACAGGGGGCAGCGAGCTACCTCCCTTCCAACAGCGCATATTCCATCCGTGAGCCGCCTGTGGTCACTCTCCTCGTCAGCAGAGTGCAGAAAGAAGCGGTCGATCTGAGGGGTTGGGAAAGAGATAGGAAGGAGCGGGAAGCAGTTGAAAGCCGACTGTGGTCGCTCTCCTCGTCAGCAGAGTGCAGAAAGAAGCGGTCGATCTGCACGGGGGGGTGACTTTTGAGTCGACTCAAAAGCCGGCTGTGGCCGCTCTCCTCATCAGCAGAGTGCAGAAAGAATGAAGGAGAAAGAAGCGGTCGATCTGCATGGGGGGGTGGGAGGAAGCAGCTGCTA